TCTTCACCCAGCCTCTTCCCAAGTAAATAGTCCAACGCAATTCCTTTTTCCCTGTTGATCCCAGTTCTGCTATTTCCATATCCAGATTTGGTATTTCTGATGCCATTAGTCGGGCAATGTTGGCCATAGGTGGTGTTAGTGACAGGATTACTTGAGTGTGAGTCGCCTTGCACCCTAAAATTCCCCTGTCGTTACCCATTACCTTACTCAGTTACTGGACAAAATCATGTTATTTTAGCCTTGGTTCCTATACTTCGTTCCAGTTACATACAAGCAGGTTCTTTCCAAATGCGCTGATAGCTCACATACCCAAGCAGCAGAGTAACTTGCTTTTCGCACTTCTGTACACCCACAGTTCTTAGCACCTGGGAGGTCCTAGTTGCTCACAGCCCAGGTCACAAAAAAACTGGGCACAGACCTGGCCTCTACTTTGGTACTCCGTGCTTGCTGTTTACGTTTAAGTGCACCTAAGTGAGGTAATCTAGACAGTGGTGGGAAGAAGACAGGATGCCTCCTCAGATCTGTATTTTACTTTACACTGTTTTGATAGCCTTTTGCAGATAGCTGCAGGAAGGTTTGGCTTTTCAGGAGGTGCTGCGCTGTGAAGGTCTTCTAGAGTGGGATTATGTATTTAAATGAAATTGCACAAAGACGTAGCAAGAGAAAAAATTATGGACCTTCTGTGGACCTTCTGCAGATCTTCTGCAGCAGTGATGAGTTGTTTCAGTCCCACTTCCCAGAGGTTTTTTTCTATTGGCTGTTGCACTCTAGAGGGACTGCAGTAGCTTTTCACAGTAACATGGAAATGGCATAGCTCCCCAGCTTCAAAAGTGGTTGAAATCCCTGAGCGCATCTGGATAGATACGTGATCTCTAAATTCCTCTGATGCACGAGCAGCAAAGGTGATCTTACCATGCTGCTGCTGCTCTCATTTAGCCATGCAGTATTAATGTTTATATTTCACATGAGATTGCTGAAACGCTTTGATGGATGTCACAGACCTAGATCCTAGAGCTGTATCTACAGCCAGCTGCTTCTAAAATGAAGTGCACCGTCTGTCCTCTTGTCTTTATCTGAAAAGGTTTCCACACTTATTTTTTGGTATTCGTCCTCTGACTGCTTCCACCAGCAACATCTCAATCCCTGATGCGTGCAGAGCAGAAGAATCCCTCTTTTCAGGGCTGAGATTCCCACTGCATTCTTAGCTCTGAACGTCATCTGAAGGGGATCTCTTATTATACAGCAATTTTAGTACTGGCCTGTGTGAGTTTTAATACTTAGATATATGTACATGAATTTTTGTGGAAGGGTGGTATTTTACCGTTGTAAATTAACACGGGTCTGGCTAAGAAGCAACTGCCTGTGTGAACCATATTTGGAACAATGACTGCTAGCTGTGTACATGGATCCTGTAAAAATGAGCTTCATATAAGATGATCCAAGCTTGTCTGAGGGATGTCAAGCTGGAAATAGACATGTACTTTCTCACCAGATTCTTCTTCATCCTCACCAGCTAGACCAAGGTAACACCGATAAAAACTGTAAATCTAGATTCAGTTCAAAGTCTGGTTGTGAACCCAAATGCTTAACAGTTTTAAATAGGTTGTTCCAGCTGCGTCCATTTTTTTTAGTTTGGATTCTGAGAACAGATACAAACAAACAAGCAAAAACCGAGAGGCAACCAGTGCCAAATTTCTTCAAGCCAAAAAAATAAAAAATAAATAAAGCACTGCTTTGACCCTTTTATATAGGTTTCATGGTCTTTTATTATATTCATGCACTATTTAAGTAGACCGTAGCAAATTAGTAATGTCAATTTAAAATTGTGTTTTGTTTTGTTTTGTTATTTTGTACTAATGCGTAGATTCTGACACAGTGTTTTCACTTTTTTGTTTTTCTGTTTTTTTTCTAAAAATGGAACCATGGGATTATGGAGAATTTGATGGTCATCTGCATTTTTTAAGAGTTATTCAGTCCTGGGAATGTCAGGGAAATGTGGTGGCAGAGGAGGGAGGATTTCGCGTTCTTGCAGGAAAATACAGTTCAGATAAAATGTAACATTTGGAATGTACAAATCTTGGAGGGGGCAATGTGCCCTTAAGTACTTTTTCAACTTGAAATTGTGAGTGTCTATCAATTACTGAAACTTCTTCCATACTTGATTTGTGAAGGTGTTAAGGGAAGCTCTTAACTATATACCCAGCACAGCAGTGTGGACTTCTGTATTTTAGCATGAGAATGAAACGACCTTCTAGGTACGAGAACCAAATATAAAGCTGTAGCTTAAATAGTCTATGGAATCTTTTGATGCTACCTCTTTTAAGAGATTTATGGAGTTTATGTACTAGAGTATCCTACCAATGAACCTTTCTTTTGTAGGTTGCCACTTGTACAATGTTACACTTTAAAAGCTGATCTGAGAATTGTCTAGTTTAAGAAAAACTCAGGTAAGGAAAAGAAGGAAATCATCAACATATGATGTGTTGGGATGAAAGGATTAATATTATCTTTCAGGTAAAAGGAAATTGAACATTTTATTCCTGTTAATAAGGTCAGGGTATTTCTTGTGGATAAAGTCAGATATCTTGTGAGACTGCTGGAGATGTTTTGCTTTGGAAAAAGAATGCTTAAGTGGTGAGGAAACTTATTTAGAAGTTTGTCGAAGTGAACCGTGTTCGGCTAGCATGTGCAACGTCAAACTTTGGACAGAAAAACTGGAAACTGTTAGCTGTTCTATGAAACTTGGAAACCCCCACGACAGTATTTACACGAAGCCCTGACATGAATTGTTTCCCAGTAGCTGTGGTAAAGCCGGCTAGTCTGCAAGTGGTGTGATTCAAAGCTAAAATGATGTGAATTGGCTCAAGTCCACCACTGAACAACATCCACAGGCCAAGTGCTGGATAGGGCTCAGCATGTTTTCACCGACGGTTTGGGTAGAGCCTGTGCAGTACAGTACTGCTTTTTCCGTACTTCGCACTAGAGCTAAGGAAAGAAGGGAAGCACACAGAAGCCGAAGTCAGTAAAATTCACGTGGCATAATAACAGCACTAGCAAGTGCTGTGGAAATAAGGAGGAGTATGTTCTCTGGGAGTTTAGCACCTGACGTGTGTATGTGCGCGTGTGTGTGTTGTGTGTGTCTTTCTGTGTACGTATATATGTAGAAAGACACTGATTTCCCCTCTCTCCTTTTCTTTCCTTTTGTTTTAGAAGTAAATATATAGAATGTGATTTTAAAACTAGGTATATTGTTTTCTATTTGAGGTAGTGATGACAATAAGCAGTGACACACTAAGTTTTTTATTTTTTTCCAAATAGCTGTATAATAGAGAGGAATTTAAGGGGGCTGTGTACTTACTGGTCATGACTTCTGCCTATGGCTGCCTGATTAGGTAAGCCTCTTTGCTGATCAGTCGTCTTCTGATCCAGAAGAACACGTCCAGAACATGTGGACATATAAAAAATGGTACATGTGGAAATACTCATACTGCTACAAGACAGGACTATCCACATTACAAAACTGCAAAAGAAAGACTTTGAAAAACTGCTGGGGAAATGTTTCTAGGTAGATAGAAGGCAAGGAAAACCATGGAACAGTGTAGCTTTACAAATGAGACTTTTTTTCCTCCTTTCTTTTTTAGAAAGTGTTTTGCCCAGTGTTCAAAGGAAGAGGGAGACTCTTTTTTTTTCTTTTTCTTTTTCTACTCATATGACACACAGGCTTGGTATATGCATTAGTTTCCGTGTTGGCCAATATCTGTATCCAGTTTCTGATTTTTTTTGTTCATCATGCTGAGGATTAGATCATTGTCTTTCAATACGGTTTAGCAGTTTTAAAGGTGGCAGTTGATGATAGATAAACCCTCATCATTTGTGCCACCAGAAGTAGGTGGGTGTCCCAGTTTTCTAACGGTGTGAAGCATGAAGCACCTACCTTCAGCAGTCTGTGAGAGCTGTGGCTAAAATCTTGGTGGAACTGAAGACGACAGAAGAGGAACTGCTAAGGCAGTAATGGGAGCGCAATTCTACAGTTTTGTAAAATCGACTAGTATAAACACTTTACGGAGTACAAGACATTACCTGATACTAGACCACTTTTCCAGAATTATGGCATGATAGTAAGGTATATTCTGATGTAATAAAAACACGTCATCAAAAATAAAGTCTTATAAATGCTCTGGAGACTATAAAGGAAGACACAAAGGAGAAAAAGATCTGCCTGGATCTCCTAAAAGAGGGGCACTGGTAACCTTTTATTCTGTTAGCAAAACACATGGACAGCATTAGCATATGCACTGTGGAAATTTGCAAAATAAAAAGTTGTCCATATTGTCAGGTATTCTCTTAATAAGGTATAGATTTTAATTTTGGCTTTAAGATGCTTTAGGAAGCGTAAAAGCAACATGAGCAGTTACTCTAATCCTGTATTTTCTGAGCAACAAAAGAAGCACATGAAGCAAAACTTTACAGCTGTGACGTTTTACAGAGTTCTGTAAAACTGCCTATCTGTGGGGATCCAGTCAAACCTAAGTTTGTCTTCCTTCTTGGACAGAAGACTCAGAACTGGGGTGAACCTTTGTAGAGGTGTGCTGTCTCACATAAGAGAACGTGGCATAAAGAAACTTGTGGAAAAACCATAAGCAGGAAGAAATTCCAGCATGAACACAACTGATTTCAGCAAAACTATGCTTTTCTGCTGTGACCTTGGATTGTTCTGCTCGCTGTTAGTCTCAACATATTGAAATTGTTGAAAAGAGATTGTTCTTTTGTGGCTACCCAGGGTGATGAAAATTGTGATGGAATAAAGGGGATAGGACAGGACTCGACTACCTTAACATGAAGTGCATAGCTTCTCCTTACTCATGTTTGGGTGTATGTATTTTACTGCATATGTTTGTTTTGGATTGATGTACTAGTGCTAATTTTGTTCCGTTTAAATGTTTTACAAAAAAAAAAAAAAATCTGTGTGAAGATATTGCAGGCACATTATGACAAATGTCTCTCTGCTGCTTATTCCATCTTCAGAATGAAATGCAAGAGTTGTCTGACATAGATGTTTGGTAACTAAGTCTCTCTGCTGTGTGAAAAAGTTTCTGGCTGCTACATTTGTCTGCATTTATTTTTAGTGTTCACAGGAATTCAGTTATCGTCTTAATGACTTTTTTTTCATTTTTTCCACCTTGTTTTGTAGGTAGCCTTGGCACTTCCTTTCAATGCCAGTCAATCCTTCAGGATCACATTTGCAACGATGACAGTGACAAGGTGAGGCCTGCATAAATGTTTCCTTTGCAAGATGAGTGTGTGTGTGTGTTGTTTTTTTTTTTAATTGTACTACTTTTACTGTCCTGTTTTACTTTAGTGTTCTCCAGGCCTGGAAGTTAATTTTCAGAGTTACTCTTTGAAATTTCTCTGGCCTGCTAAGAAATAGATTTCTCCTTAATTGACGAAAAGAAGTATAGCTTGTATATTTTCTTTCTTTTTGCTTGCATTCTGCTGCTGTTCTAAACAAGTGTAGTTTGCCATACTGACAGCCACAGGTCATAAAGAATGGCAACGTCACTACTAATTTTTTACGTAAGTTGGTATGTATTATTACGGTTGTTTGTGACTTATGAGGTTTAAACCTAGCTAAGCGCTGAAGAGTTTTTTGCAATGGCTGTTCCTTCCTGCTTTGGAGTTAGATACTCCAGGTTTTACAGACAGGTACTGTTCAGTGCTGCAGCATAATATATCAACCTATTTGGTAGTGTGCAAGTGTTTTCCTAACCTTATTTGTGAAGAAATCATGCTCTCGAACTAGTCTGCTTTGAGTCAGTAGAGCACTGGATGTTTTTAGTTAAATGTTCAGTGATGCATGGATCAGTAGTACAGCTGTGGAGTACAGAAGGGAAAAGTTTTGAGGGTGAACCTCTTTTGAAACTTGATTTCATGTTCCTGTTCTTGTCGTTTTAACCTTAAGCTTTCCTATCCTTAACAATACAAATTGATTAATATGAGTTCAACACGTAATATTCACCACATTGTTTGCAAGAAGGACAATGTATAGGAAGGTTTCTTGTTGCCTTTACAAGCCTGGGAAAGGGTATGTATGAGTAAACTTTAAAATGAACTTTCTTGGGAATTGCAACGCTGTCTGGCTCTCTATGCCTTGATAAGTGCATAAATCCTTGTGCTTTGAATTGATGGAGTAAGTTAAAGATAATTTTATGGCCTTTCCAGTTCATCCTAGAGCTAGTTTTATTTTCGGAGAGAATTTCTTTTACTGCCATACTGCCTATTTTTTTTCTTTTTGATTTTGAGGGTATGTCCTAGATTTTGAGGCTTGGACAAACAAGCTATCTAGAACATAGCAAAAAAAGTGATTTTAAGTTTCCAGTTGATTAGTTGGTCATGCATTGAGAAACAATGACTGAACTGTTTTCCGTATGGTGTTTCCAATGTCTGAAAATATCTTTTCTAGAAGAGAAAGAAGGGGAGAGGACAGTTAAACTCTTGTTCATCTGTGCTGTTGGAGCTATTTGCAAAGAAGCTGAAAGCTGGTGTTCCAGCTTTGTTTTGCTTTGCAGTCGGCTGGCTCAATAGAAAGCCTTTACCGTCTCTTTGGAGCGCTGGTGTTCAAGTTCAATCTGGCAGTGCTTAAGGTCACTTCTCAATGATACATCAGAAGTGTGGAACAAAAGGGAAAGGTGGGAGAAAAGGAAAATGAGGTAGTAAGAAGGGAAGATTCTTAATCATGGGTTCACTTGTGCAGTTACCCATTAATTGTCCATACATGGTGGTGCTACATGGGGAAAAGAGCACAATGAAGTCTTAGTTCCTTTTATCTGCCTTATATTCACGGCTTTCTTTTGGTCCTAGCGCACTGTGTTCCTGGAAGATTCTTGAGTGAGGAGCAGGTGGTGGAAATTTCCTTTCAGAGGGATCCTAGTGCACCAACTTCAGACTGGCACTCCCTTTTAACATTCTTCCTTTTCTATCATTATATGGAAGATCACCTCTGTGTTAGATGCTGGAATGAGAGAAAACTGAGGGAAGACAATCATATCAGGGTAATTAAAACTGTTTTAAGTCCTGTTGAAAATTATGTTTGTTAGGTGCTTCACAGGTTTGGGGGTGGAAGTGGGAAGGGGGTGGAAACTTACCTGCTTTAAACTCCAGAACAGTGCACAGCTTTTTGGGTTTTTTTGGCATACCACCTGCCTCCATATTAACAGAGGAACTGGGCCAGAACTTTACATTTCTGCATATCTGGGGGTGGGTGGAGAAAACCATCTTTCCCATTGTTATTGATTCTGTGCCAAATTAGAACACCACTCTGTATCATAAAGGCTGATTAAAGTGAAACTAATACAAAAAGCAGGAATAATGCACTTGAGGAGCATTTCAGAGAAATACTTTTTCCGTCAAGTGTCAGTTTTATGCTGATAGAAGCTTTGATTCTTCTGTTGGAACACATTAAACGGTTTGCCTTGTATTTCATAGGCAAGTCTAGCTGATCCCTTGACTAAAATGGCCACTTGTTTTGAAAAACAGTGAACAGTCTTCAGAACTAACATCTATGCTCTTCTCAGCCGTGCTACTGAACACTGCACTCTTATTTTACAAGAGAAGACTGTGTACTAATGCTCAGTTAATGTCACTGGGGGAGTATTAATCAAGTGCATGTCTGCTCTTCTGCTCATTAATTTTTTGCAGAACTTGTGGAAATGGACATGCTTTTCTTCCTCCATAAATAGCGCTTCCTGAAAGGAGCTGATTATAATACTACAGTGCAGTAGCAACACTGGGCAGGAGTGAGCAATCAATTAATTGCAATGCTCGTTTAATTTTTCACTTTCTTATTTGTAAACAAACCTATAAAGATGCAAGTTGTAACTACTCCTGGGACAGCTCTTTTCAGTGGTCTCATCCAGCTCTCTATTCCCTAGTTGCCAGGCAGATAATAACAAGCTGGCTACCCAGTAGTAATGAGAAAATGTGGCGCAGTGGAAATTTTTCACCACCACTAAGGGCTGTAGGATAAGGCATTAAATAAGGGACAGTTAAATATTTATATGCTACAGTTTAATGAAGTACAAAGAATGTCTAAAACGCACAGATTGACTCTAGGACACTTAAGGTGAGGGAGGGAGAGAAGCTAGGTGAGTTTAGCTGCAGTTTAGTGTCAGTCTTGCACTCACTGACGTGTCACTTTAATGCTTTCTAATGCTTTGTTTCACGGCTATGTTACTGTGCTTTGTCAGTCTTTTTGGAAATCTTCCATGTGACTAAGAATGACTTACTACTGGAAAAGATTATTAGTTCCAAATATTTACCTTGCTTTACTCCTTTTGAATTTATTATAATTTATTTTAATTTCATTGTATTATTTCTATTAGATTAGATTATTAGATAAAGTATTATTGTAGCACGTCAGGAATTTCTCTCCACTTGGAACTTAAATCGTTTTATATATCTGTAATTATTTATATATCCAAATTCCTGTGACCCAGACACTCAACAAAATAATTTGATTCACTATTTCTAACCTTTAAATCTGTAAAGTTATGACAACTGCATCTTCCAATTGTTTAGTATTTCTTTTCCCTGAACATGCTCTAGGTTGTCTGTCCTGGTCATGGGGTACTACTCAGTCCTTAAATACTAATCTGGAGTGCCATATCAATTTCTTATAAAGCTTTTATTTTTTCCGCAGAAGGGAAAGCATATCACAAACCCTAATCCTCAGAAAATGATCCATGTTCTTTGTTCTTCTCTATGGCTGGAGCAGAGTCAGGGAGGATAAGCTGAATCGTGTCTCCCATAGCTGAACTCAAATCAAATCAGGCATTCATTTGGATATTCATCTATAAAATAATGTGGTATTTACCCACCTTTTCTGTGGAATCTTTGCTTATGGATGAGGGACAATACATAGAAAAATAGGAATATTAAAAGGGATACCTTTTGCTCCTTCCAGTTTCAAAACTGTGAAATTTCTCACTGTTCTGCTTAGGAGAGCACTAATTCATTTTTCTTTGTTTTTTTTTTTTCTTTCATGCATACATTCAGTTCAGTCTATATATTTCTGCTGAGTTTCTTCATGCTTTTTTAATTTCCATTGCAGATGTGGCAGCCCCATCGATATTGTTCACTAAACGTAAGCCACTTCCAGGCCTAGTGAAGTTTTTGTCTGCATTGCAGCTCTGTTTCCTTATATCTACAGCGGATTTCTTTTTGTTTCTTCTGGATCAGATTTGGGGGAAACTTAATTAGAAGGAAGTGCAGAGACCACAGGCAGGACTGAAAGCTGAAGACTGCTACCGGGTGCCTTATTTTCAGGGGAGCTGCTTGGGCGTCGCTAAGACCTCATTGGACCCCCTTGCTGTGTCTCCCGATGGCGCTAAAAGCAAAAGGCTGGTCATATTTCTCTAGCTTCTCAGCAGCAGCAGGTGCCCGTTCCTCCGCGTTTGTAGGTTTTGCCTGCCGGGGAAGCGAGGCCAGAGGCAAGAGCGGGCATGCCCGGGAGGCGGCGGTGACCGCCAGGCTGCGGTGGCGCTCCCTTCCGGAGCGCGTGCCGAGCGAAACCTAATGCCGCCGGTTTCGCAGGGCCA